ACCATTATTATTATTTTTGTAGTTCTATGCTACTAATTTACTTTTTTATAATTTCCTTAAGCAGGTCTTTTTCTCTACAATAACAGTTCTTAGAGCTTATTCCCTTCCTATATGCAGCAAATCATCTTGGATTAGGACATGAACATATGCTTGATGTGTAGTGTTATGGAACAGCAAGGAAAGAATGGGAGACATTAAGCATAAAAACAAGATGAGACAGAAAGGAGCACTCCCTACAGAATAAACTCTCTTTCTGTCCTTGGTGGCAAAGTCTGGTAGTCTGGTTATATACGGATGAGTGAAGTTCTTGTGATCAAATCAAACCTTAATGCACAAAGAAGCATGAAGAAGGCAGCCTAAGTAATTAAAGCTTGAATGCGTTTTAGAGGGTAAATCTTGGACTCTGACCATGGACTAAAGTATCACCCATTAGATTTTGCTTAAGATATTACTTCAGGTGTAAAAAAAAAGTACAGAGTCATCTTCAGGTAGCAATGGAGGATTACAATCATCTTAACCAATATCACCAAAAGCCTAGTTTCTCAAGAGGGAGCATCGCTCAACCTCTTAGCCCCCTACGTTCTACTTAAAACCACGAGAGTAAAGTTACAAAGGTACATTAGGAATGTTTGGAACCTAGAACTCAAGTGGTGGACTGTGCTGGTCCTGACCACAAAAATGTCAACGCTTGGGTTCAGACTTCAGAGTGTTGTTGTACTCTCTTCTAGACAAGACCCATTCTGCAGCATTGTGAGTCAGTGTTAGCATAAGCACTCTGGTTGTCACCATCCATTCCTGCATTACCACGGTAAAATCATTAGTCATGACCACATTCTCCTGAACAGATAGAGTTGTTCTGTAAAACACAAACCCAATAATGCTTAATTAAGACTCACAAAAGTTAGAGAGCAAGCATACCAGAATTATATTTCTCTGGATGAAAGATGCTTTCTTCCCTTTCTCCTGCTATTGTTGCGCTTATCTGATTAACAACCTGTTAGCGGTTTTAAAGTCAGTCATCAATGCAATATGAAACTTATAATTTGGTTTTGGAGTAACACTTGCTCCTAGGATACTTCTCTGCGATAGAATTCTTCTACATAACATGAACTCAAAACATGCAAGTAATTTTTTTATTGCAATGATTCTCAAAACCAAATACTAGTAACAAAGAAACCAGTCACTGGAAATCAAATCTGCTATAATGCAACCGATGCCAAAGAAATAGAGAAAAACAAAATAATGAGAAGGAAAATTGGCAAAGCATATGACTCCTAAACCGATTTTAAGAAAAACAGTAATACTCAAAGTAATTACCTCGATGCAGTGATTAGCTAACTTAAGCAAATTGGTTTTGATTCTAGGTGCCGAAGGAAAGATTGAGAATCCCCAATAATTCACTGTATGATCCGAATTTTCGAAGCCTGCGAATTTCATTTACCATAAGAGCTTGCCAACTTAAATTAATGCCATGATAGAATATCGCAGTGAATGCAATAACACTTAATGAGACTCATAAGAAGATATGCTTAGAAAGAATACCAGAAGGATCACTGGGTGCCTGCAACCATAAAATATGTTACGGTGTGTAATTTGTAGGTTAAGTGATCAAATGTTGAAAGTCCAAACTTTGTGATGCATTCACAATTTGAAAGAAATGGGTACAAGCAATTAATATGCTGCTTACCTCAATACTGAGATCTCCCAGATCAAAGGGCTTTGTAGTGGAAGCAGTCGAAATCAATAGATCTGGTTCGAATTGATAAGTCATAAGTGAATTTATAAAGAAATTGATTCTTAAAGGATTTGATTAGCATTGCCTTGAATTGGATATACTAATTCATGGGAATTTGTAACGGAATGGAACATACATACCTTTTTCAAGCCTCAGTCTTTGCTTA